TCAGCAGGCAGTGAGGCTCCTCCAGTGGATCATGCCTTGGCACTTGCCCCGGCCCACCCCCTTCTGTCAGAGACCCTCAGATCCGTTCCACTCCTGCCCAGGCCCCCACAGGCACCCTTGCCACAAATGATGTAGAGCTGGCCATGCCCACCCAATAGGCCACACCCACTCTGTCCACACCCACCCAGTAGCCCCCCCCGAGGGCAACCACAATGCTGATGCGGCCCTCAATGAAATTGAGTTTGACATCCCTGCTGTACAGTATATACTGTACATCCAAACATCCTTCACACACAATACACCAAAAATACACATCCTCCAATTAATGATAAATTCCCACCCTGCATTCCAAAGAATCTATTGTTTTCTATTGTTAACGGAGATAAGAAAACATGTTGGGACAGAACAATTGGGAAGGAGGGACAACAAATCGGGGGGGGGGGGGGAGGGAGTTCCTGTTTTCCTTAAGCATTATTTAAATGATGTATCTCTCTCAGAGACAGAGGCTGCCCACAGGGGCCAAGCCATGCCTGTTGCTTCTTTTCTGCCCATCAAAGGAGCCATTCATGAAATAAGACTTGTGGACTTCAACTCCCAGAATTCCCCAGCCGGCATGTGCCGGCTGGGGAATTCTGGGAGTTGAAGTCCACAAGTCTTAAAGTTGCCAAGATTGGAGAGCCTTGCTTTAGACTGACAGAAGCCAGGACCTCCTCTCCGTGTGGGAAGTAGAAAAAAGTGGAAAAATCATGATCAGAGTCCAGGAACATTTCCTAACAACCCGGATGATATTGTCTTCGTCTCCAAGCATGAGGGAAAGGGAAAGAATAACTTGCAAGCTCATCCAGGTTGGGGAAATAGCACTGGCTGATCAAGTGAGGCGCGTTACAGCGATTTGTTACAAAATGGATGCAAATTTCCATGAAAAACCAGTAGCTATTTATGGGGAGGGGGAGGGGGGAGCAGGCCAAGGCTTCAAGTCAGTCTCAACGCATGACTTTCCACAGAGTTTCCTGGGCAACACGTTTGGAAATTGTTTGCCGTTGCCTTTTTCCTAGGGCTGAGAGAGATGGACCAACTTTGGGCCAAGATCCCGGATTGTGATCAGGTGATCGCAGGGTGTTGTGAATGACACAAGTATGAGGATTTTGTCCTAACTACTTGTGCAGCATTGTTGTAAGTCTGAATGGTCACTGAACAAGTGCTAGTTAAACCAGTGGCACGAGGAGGGGAAAAAAAAACAACAACCCTGTCCCTGTGTCTACGTACCATAGTTGTGCACCAAGACAACTAGATGCAGGCACAGTTTTTTCCCTCTTGCCATCACTCTGCTGAACACTGAATTCTTGCAGTTCTGTCTAATGTCTATGTATATTAACCCATATAGTGTAGCCATAGTATTATATAACCTTGTTATCTTCTACACTTCTCCCTTTTGTTGGTTTTACGATGGTGATTCTCTCCCTTGCTTTGCAGGTAGATCGAATGCTTCTGTAGTACCAGAGACAAATTCCTTGTGTGTTTAACCACACTCAGCCAAATAAAGTATCCAATTCAATAAATGAGGATCACCTATACAATTCACATTCTTTTGCTGGTTTCTAATCTGGCACAATTAACCACTACACCTCACTAGCTCTCCGTAGGCTTATTATGATATTCCATAATTCCACATTTTATCTGAATAACAAAGAATACATAAACAGCATTAATAAATACATCTTTATACTCAGTTCATTTTTTTTTATAGCTGAATGGAAATAGTCACTACAATTTCAAGGTCCCTGAGGAGGTATCAGAACATAGTATGTGTCTTGCTGGATCAGATTCCTGATCCTTCTAGTCCAGCAGTCTGTTCTCACAGTGGGCAATAGCAATCGTGTTCTTGCTATAATTCATTCTGAAGGGTGGAAGTGCAACTTTTGCTCTTAACATTGAGTCACTTCCACTACTATCATACTTAATCCTGCATTTAGTAGTTAATAGCAGTAATCTGCTCCTGAAGTGGCAGCAGGTTTTAGTCTCCATCCAGCCAAGACATTGGTTTGTGAACATGCTATCATTCCCTTCTTTAGGTAACTAACTGAGAAGAAGGGATGAAAATTACTCTATTGTACATGTCTGTATGGCTACGTTCTCCCCAATATACACCCCTTCTCTCATGAAGAAAATTCTCTTTCATGAATTCAGACATGGGAAAGTAAAACAAATAAAATAAAAATAAAAGCAAATCTGACCTAGACTTAATCCTCCAACACAATTTCACTTATCAACTTGTTTCTCTCTCTCTTGACTGAGACCTGTTAAATGAGAGAGGAGTGCTTGAAGCATCTTATATGCCTTCACACGAAACTCAGATTTCTTTCAATCAAAAAAATTTTGGTTTTAAAAAGTATACTATGTTTTATTTCCACAACATGCTTATCCATTACCTTATTCAGCCCTTACTCAATATTTACCAAATTTCTGCTTGACTCCATAATAACCACTCAGGCCAGTGCACAATATTACAAAGTAATATTCTACTAGGTGACACTTTAATTTTCTGGGTTTGCAATGCGTACAAAATAAACAATATTAAACCATCAACCAGAGGCTTGATTTGCATATCTTGTTAAGCTAAAATGCAATTCAATTCAGTGCAAAACTTATTCAGCAAAACTTATTAGACCTATCTTCCTTAGAAGAATGTATTTCATTCTCATCCCCATGATCATTTCTTTCCATTTATAACACACCCCATTATTGGAGAAAGGGAGGACAATATATCAGCCTGATATCAATTTCATCAAAACTTACAGCCAGCATGACCAACACAGAGTTGCACCTCATCAAAATTGGGAAGACTAAACAATGTTGAAATACAAAGATCACATATGAGTCTTCAAAAATGAACCAAAAAGAGCAAAAGGAAAAGAACCCAAAGATCAATCCATATGAATCCCTTGGAAGGATTCAGAGCAAATCTTAAAATGCAAACACTATGAAAATAATGGAGTGACATCTAGATGTTAGCTTAGAACAAACTCTGGCTAATCTCATTCCATTCCTTTAATCTATTAATTCCTCAGCAAATTGTGAGAAAGCTGCAGATGGACTATATCTTGACTTCAGCCAAGCACCCAATAAAACACCCATGAAATTCTCATTAGCAAGCTGGATGTATAGTATGCAAGTTAATTAGGTGGATCCAACCCCTGAATACCATAGAAAACACCTCTCCATTCAGCTTAAATGAATCTTGCTCTGCCTACATGACAACATTCTATTAATACCACAAAAGGAATGGGAAGAATTATAAATCTGTAAAATTCAGCAGGACTTGGGAACTCCAGAAAGTGAAAAACATTCAAAATTAACTTAGTAAAGACATAGAAGTGGATTGAAAATTAAAAAAAATTCATGTAAGAAAAAAACAATGTTTAAGTCACAGACAGGAAATAAATAAACAGCACGTGTGAAAATAGTGTAGAAAGCTGATTGCTAACAAGTTGGCTCAGTGTGAAGCATGCAACTTGGCTACTAAAAAATAAAATGGAGATTTCAGGCTGCATAAAAGAATACTTTTGAAATCATAAAATTGTATTTAGTATTAGCAGACCCCCATTCTAGTATGGGAGCCATTTCAGGGTAGGGGTGCAAAGAAGGGTGAGAACCACAGGGGAGTCCAGAAACAATACTCTAGAGCAGTGTTTCTCAACCTTGGCAGGTTGAAGATGTATGGACTTCGACTCCCAGAATTCCCCAGCCAGCATTGTTGAAATCCAACTATCTTAAAGTATGCTGGCTGGGGAATTCTGGGAGTTGAAGTTCACCTATCTTCAACCTGCCAAGATTGAGAAACGCTAGCTAGACAGACTAAATTAAGGGGTGGATGGGAATACATTAAATGCCTTCAAAGCCCCACAAGGATATACCGACAACCTGCCATTAGAGGACCGCAAGCACAATACTGCACAACTAGGTCTCTCAACCTCAGCAAATTTCAGATATCCGGGAGTGGAGAATTCTGGCAACTGAAGCTGGGGAATTCTGGGAGTTGAAGTCCACCCATCCCAAAGCTGCCACCAAGGCTGAGACCACTGTACAATACAGGTAGTCCTTGACTTCCAACAGTTCATTTAATGACTGATCAAAGTTACAACTGCACTGGAAAAAGTGACTTAGGACCGTTTCCCACAACTGTGGCCACGGCAGCATCCCCAGTGTCACGTGATCAAAATTCAGACGGTTGGCAACTGACTTGTATTTATGACGGTCACAAGTATCCTGGGGGCACGTGATCCCCACCCCTTTGGGATCTTCTGACAAGCAAAGTCAATGGGGGAGGGGGGAAAGTCGGATTCACTTAACCACGTTTCTCACTGAAATGCAGCAATTCGCTTAACGACTGTGCCAGCCCAGGTCCTCAAAGGGGGCAAAAACTCACTTAACAACTGTCTCAACTTAGCCACAGAAATGTCGGGCTCCATGGCGGTCGTAAGGACGAGGACTACCTGTAATAAATAGCCACGAAAGCGAATGGCAGGAACCTCCAGAGCGAGAGGAGCGTTTCCAAGCGGAGGTCGGAGCCTCCCGAGCGGAGATGCTGAGGGACGGGACGGAGGGGGTGGACTAGATGACCTTAAAGAACCTCTCCGGAATCCCGGGGTCTTCCCAGCTCCAAGGATAGGAACCTCAAGGGAGCAAGGTGGCGTCTCTTGAGGGGGGGACCGAGCCGGCATGCAGGACCCCCTTCCACCCCTCAATCCCGGCGCTCTTGACCGAGCGGCCTTCCACTCCTCCGTCGGAAGCCCCAGAGCTGCAAACCCCGCAGCGACGTGACTCCCTACACGGTTTTTCAGCCTCCCCCCCTCGCCCCCCGCGTGAGGAGGGAAAGGCCTCGGCAACCCTCAGGAGCCGCGGCCCAGGCCGGGAGGCGGCGGCGGACGGCCCACTGGCTTTCCCGCCCCCTCCCCTGAGGAAAACCGCCCAGCCCTGGACGAGGACAACGCTCGCCTCACCGGTCGGCAGCGGCTCCCGTCGCGTCGTCGCCTCTCCGAGTGGCCGCTGAGGGGAGCGAAGCGGAGGGGGGGAGGGGCGCCTCAGAAAACGGCCGTTTACCTCTCCTCCGCCTCCAACGGCCGAGCAGCCCCCGCCACCGGCCGCCGATTGGCTGCTGCCTCGCGCGGAGGGACAGCCGGCCCACCCAACCGCAGCGGGGCCCTCGGGCGTTTCCGCCAATGGCTTTAACCCGCGCGCCGGCCCCGCCTCCCCGCTGGTTAAAGAGCTCCGGGGGCTCACGTCGTCTTTCTTTTCTTCCGCTCCGGCGCTCGTCATTGGTCGGGCCTCGACCAATGAAGAGTCGCCTGAGGGAGGGGAAAAGGCGCCCCCCCCGCCCCCTATCGGGAAGCGCCGGATGGCAGCGCCGCTCGGATTGGTTGGGGGGGGGGACGAGGAAGAAAAGATGGGCCGGGCCAAGCCAGGCCCGGCCACGCCCTTTCGGCCCCCTCCAGGGAAGGGATGGTGAAGGGACGCGGGGCGGCCTACGTGAGGACGTGCACAGCAGCAGCAGCAGCTGCGCGGGGGTGGGCGGGGTTTGCGGGGCCTCGCGCACCAATCGGGGAGGGGCGGGCGGCTTCTTTCCCGCAGGCCACGCCCTCACACGCTTTTTCCCCGCCTCTCTTCTGCTAGCCCCCACGCGAGTTTGCTTACACGCGTTGCTCAGGAATCCTGGTGGGCGAAAAAGGAGGAGACCCTAATAGGGGAGCAGATCCTCGGGTGGGAATTGGGGTGTGCTTAGCCTTGCCCCCTTTCCGGGTCAAAGATGGGGGTTCAACTTCCACACCGCCCATTGGGACTCCGTTCCAATGAGAACAGCTGAGTAGACATTTTTTTAATATAGATGTTATTAGTTTTTATAGGGTTAGGAATAACAACAACAACAATAATAATAATAATAATAAAGTTGGAAGGGAATTGGAGGTCATCTAGTCCAACCCCCTGCTCAGGCAGGAAACCCAATCTAAAGTACACCGAGTCTTCTTCCTCTTTTATCTTTAAAGTCCATCTATCCATTTCTGCACACTCTAGAATTTTCTTAATTAGCATTTCTTAAGCTCGTAAATTTTCATTTTTCCAATCTTGGGCAAATACAGTTCTTGCTGCCGTTAGGACGTGTAGTATTAAAATATCTGCGAGCTTTCTCATCATTAGCTCCTCTTATTCCTGACAAAAATAATTCTGGTTTAAAACTCTTATTTGTTTTTTGGACATTCTCTCCAACCATAAATGTATTTTAACCCAAAATCTTTTTGCTCTAGGGCAGGGGTAGATAACCTTGGCTCTTTTATGATTTGTGGACTTCAACTCCCAGAATTCCTGAGCCAACAGCTGGCTCAGGAATTCTGGGAGTTGAAGTCCACTCATAAAAGCCAAGGTTGCCTACCCCGGCTCTAGGGCATGTCCACCAGATATGATAATAAGTACCTGGTCTTTGTTAGCATTTCCAACAGTTGTTTGAGGTATTTTTAAACATTTTTGCTAATCTCATTGGTGTCATATGCCATCTGTAAAACATTTTATATAAGTTTTCTTTATGTGCCACTGCTTTAGTTAATTTAATATCTTTCCCATAACTTTTGCCAATCTTCTAATTCTATATTATATCCCAAGTTCTTTGCCCATGTTATCAGTTCCTTTTACTTGTTCTTCCTTCATCTTTAAGTTTAACAGAATATAGAGTTTCTTAATCAACTTTTCATCTGTTTTTAGCAGTATCTGATCAAATTCTGTCCTTTATAAAATCCCATTGTTTTAACATCTTTTTCATATCTCATTTGAATTTGCAGATATAGCCTAGAATCAATACCTTGTTCTTGTAAATCTTGACTGTCTTTCAATTTTCCTTCGTTGTCCAAAATACCTTTATAAGTCACAACTTTATCGTAGTTAATTAAATTTGGGTAAGCAAAAGCTTCCATTGTTGAAAGCCATTCAGGTATCTTAATATAATTTTTTTCTTTTATTTTTTCCCATTCTGAAAGAAGGGCATTCCTTATAAAATGCCTGGCTGAGGAATTCTGGGAGTTGAAGTCCACAAGTCATAAAAGGGCCAAGTTTGAAGACTCCTGGTTTAGATTAAAATTGTCCTTGGCAATCAGCAGGGGAAGAGGGTCATAAAAGTCAAGATGTCTGCTGCAAAACAGTGTTTGGGTCACAGGGTCCCAGCCCCTAACTTGCCATCTGGTTCCTGCAGATGGCTCTGGATAGGTCCCATCTCCGGCAGGATTTGTCCTTTAGCCCCAGACTCAAGCTGAAAAACTGGGCCATTCCCATTGCAGAGACACCAAACCTTCTTTGAAAAAGGAGCATCTAACCGGCCGCAAATTTTATTTTGCACCACAGGCGTTTGAGGACACCTGAGTCTTAAAACAATGCCTTGCTTAACAATGGAAATTTATGACTCAATAGTACTCTGAAGACAAGGGCTACCTGTACCCAATTTGGTTCCTGGTAAGCAGGTAAAGTTTGATCAGAAAGCACCTTTATTTAAAGAGACAAGAGCACTGACAGGTATGTAAAACTCAAGCAAAGAATTGGACAATTTAGGTGGGAGAAATGTGTGGGGCTTTTTTTAAAAAAAAAATTTGCTTATGAACCAGGGTACACAAAACCAGTTAAAATGCAAACATACAAGGCACATTGGTTTCTAGCATATGCCCTCTTTCCCCCTGCCCATCCTCCAGAAATAATTTTGCTAATTAAAGGAGACTTCTAGTTAATTATAGAGTTATATGAAGGCGGTAGGAAGGTTGCCTGTCATTTTGTGAAGGGATCCTGTCCTGTTTTTTGGGGAAAAGAAATAGAAATGTGGCTTTAACATTTAAATGTCAAAATTTCAAAAGAAAACTTTTGTCCGACTTGAAAAGGCAATTGGAGGAATTCATGGGCAGAGACTGGGAAGGCTCACTAAACTTTGACATCTCGGTGTTAGCTCCGTGTTTGGGGCATCAGATAGTTTCAAAAGTTCATATACTGGCTGTGATTGTCTATGATTTTGAATGTCTCCAAATCCTAAAATCAGCCATCTCTGTTTTCGTGGGCCTGAGTTGACTTCAACTCCTGGCAACTGCCTGGACCAGTCCCTAAAGTTTTCCGGGGAAGATTTTTGGAAATAAATTGTCTTCTGAGGGTGAAGAAAGAGGGACTAACCCAGGGGTAGTCAACCTCGGCTCTTTTATGACTGGTGGACTTCAATTCCCAGAATTCCTGAGCCAGCCACGCTGAGGGGAAAGGGAGAGGTTTCCAAGCTGAGCCATGCTAGCTCAGGAATTCTGGGAGTTGAAGTCCACGAGTCATAAAAGAGCCACGGTTGCCTACCCCTGGACTAGCTTAAAGTTGCCCCAGGCCTCCCCGTTTTTCATCTGATCTCTTATAACTGTTACACAAAACTGATTCTTGCCCAACTACCTAAGCCCGTTTTTCAAACTGGGCCACTTTAATAAGATACGTGGACTTCAATTCCCAGAATTCTTCAGGTACCATGCTGGGGAGTTGAAGCTCCACACTGCCAAGTTTGGAAAACACTGATCTAAGTTATATTGTGTAGAAATCTTTGGTAATTAACAGCATAAAGGTGTATAGGTAGTCTTCAGCTTACAACTGGCCGCTTCGTGATGGTTCAAAAGTTGCAAGACGCCGAAAAAATGACAAGCAATCCTTAATTTATGATCACAGCTGAGCCCAAAGTTTCTGTTGCTAATTTGAGACGGCTGTTAAGTGAGTTTTGCCCCGTTTTGCGTTCTTTGCCAGCTGTGAAGTGAACCGCTGCGGCCGTTCACTTAGTAACCCAATTGTTAAGTGAATCTGACTTCTCCCATTGACTTTGCTTGGTCAAAAAGTTGCAAAAGGTGATTACGTGACTCCGGGACACTGCAGCCGTCATAAATGAGAGCCAGTTGGCCAAGCGTCCAAAATTTTGATCATGTGACCGTGGGGATGCTGCAACAATTGTGTGAAAAATGGTCCTAATTCACTTTTTTCAGCGCTGTTGTAACTTCGAACACTCGCTAAATAAATGGTTTTAAGTCAAGGGCCGCCTGTATTACATTCTTGCAAGTCATTACATTGCCCAGATCCCAGCCAGAGATCAGAGCTAAGCAACCTTGTCTCTTTTATGACTCGTGGACTTCAACTCCCAGAATTCCCGAGCCAGCCCTGCTGAGGGGAAAGGGAGAGATTTCCAAGCTGAGCCATGCCGGCTCAGGAATTCTGGGAGTTGAAGTCCACGAGTCATAAAAGAGCCAAGGTTGCCTACCCCTATCCTAGGATGAAGATTTGTCTGAAATGGTATAGAGCAGGGGTCTTCAAACTTGGCCCTTTTATGACTCGTGGACTTCAACTCCCAGAATTCCTGAGCCAGCCATGCTGAGGGGAAAGGGAGAGGTTTCCAAGCTGAACCATGATGGCTCAGGAATTCTGGGAGTTGAAGTCCACAAGCCATGAAGGGGCCAAGGTTACCTACCCCTGGGCTAGACGTATAAAATGTACTGATAGAAATGGGATGACACACACTAACGCTGGACTATTTCAGCATTCAAGAAGGCACATGTTCTTTTTGATATGAAATGTATTTTATTTTGAGAACTTCTGTTTGTACAAAATTAGCATAATTCAGAAAGGTAAAAAACAAGTTGCTTTCTTCCGAACATTATTATATACTTATAAAAATGCAAAAAAAAACCCCAAAACAAAACAAGTACATTTGTTCCAGTCTGTTCAACGTGAAGAGTGATTTATTAAGCAACCTTGGTTTACTTATTTTCTTATGCTGAGGTATTCACTGTAGAGTATTGTGACCGTTGAGGTGAGAAACAACTGACCATTGAATATATAAGTCAAGATTTTCCCTTCAAAAACTAGTTACATATCTAGTTTCCCATCCTAAGCAAAAGTAGAGAAGATTCAGAATTAGGAGGAAAAGAAACATGCATGCGGACTGCAAGATGATTATCTAAAACTAGTGATACAGAATGATAATATTACAGTCGATAATTCCAAGAACAAAACTTTTTCTCTGGCAGCTTGGCAGTTCGGTCTATTTTTTTTTTAAGGGTTCAGAGATCAGTCTGACCAGCAAAAGAGGACCATTAAATTGTCCTTTTAAATGGCTTTTTATATGTTCCCATAAGACACCACAAAAATAGAAAGCAGCAACCGGCTGGCGGATATAAAGGTAGAGGTATCCATTTTGCATAAAGGCTCTTAAGACAAACAGTTGATAAGGAAGAACTTGTTTTAAAAAAAAAATACACGCAAATAGAATGGGAGTCTCAACGCAATCGAGGGAAAATGCTGAAGCCCAAGCCGCGTTACACACACACAAGCACCAAAAACGCTGCCTTAAAACCAATTAAAACACTTCAGATTCATGGCCCTGCATCCAATGCTTCAGAAGATTGTTCTAGCAATCGAGCTACACACAAGATTTGTTTCACGAGAATGCTTTGCCCCAATTTAATCGCAGATTTGTGACAAGCAAAGGTTCCCTTCAACCTATGCTCCGATCCGTTTATATGCTAACCGACAATGAAAATGCTACCAAAATAATAATTTTATATATATATTTATATAAGCAAGTTCCTCTATTTTAGCTTTCAGGGGCTTGGGGAAGGGGGAACGGAGACAGAAGTTGTTCCAAAAGGTTATTTATTTAAATAAAACCCCACCAAAATCACACAAGGTTTTTTGTTGTTGTTTTTTTCCCGAAGGGGCAAGACAAAAACAGAACAAAACTTAAAAAAAAAAAAAACGGAAATGAGAAGTGCTTTACGGAATCACCGCCCGCTGCCGTAACCTGGGAAGAGCTGATTTAGAAGATCCTGCAGTGGTTGATTGACTTCCATCGTATAGTTTGTGCCGAGATCATAGCGGCAGGCTGGGCAGCTGTACACTTTTGCTCGAAAAGATCGATCCAGGCAGTCCTAGAAGGAAACAGACAAAAGCTAACAACGGGACTTCTGCTTAAACAACAACTTTGATCGACCTAATCCTTCCCAGAGAAGATTTGGTCCAAAGCAGATTAAAAATATAAATCCAGTGGAACAAATCTCTTTAAATTTTAATTGTGGAGGTTCTACATAAGCTGAAGAAGCCTGGATGGAGGAGAGCAGGATTAAGATTCAAGCGCTGCTTCTGCGAAGCATTTAATTATTATTATTTTAAAAAAAGCATAAAACAGATATTGGGTGAAAAGTAAAAAAAAAAAAAAGGTGCCCACAAATTATGTGTTTGGGGCGGAAGAGTTATAATCTAAACCTTTTTGTTGTTCTGTTTAGATTCCAACACTTTTCTGTAACAAATATTTCTAATTCAGGTGTCAAATTAGTTCCAGGTACAGGTGGTCCTCAGCTTACCACCATCATTGGGACAGGAACTGCCGTTGCTAAGTGAGGCAGCTGCTAGATGGGTAGCACCCAATTTTTACAACCTGCTGTGCTCCAGTAGTTAAGTGAATCCTGCTTTCCGCACTGCCATCGGGACCTCCTGCCTCTCGTGTCTGATTGGTTTCCTAGCCCGCCTCTCTTCCTCTCATACCCCAAAATCATCCATACATTCCATTATCGTCATGAAGCGGAATCACCGCAGTCATTAAGTGAACGTGGCTTCCCCTGTTGCCTCTGCTTGTTGCAAGCCCCCGGGGAAGGCCGCAAAGGGCAATCACTTGATCCCAGGATGTTCCGACTGTCACAAATGCATGCCGGTTGCCACACGCTCAAAATTTTGATCGCTTGACCCTGGGGATGCTGCAACCATCACAAGATTGAGGACCTGTCACAATTTGAGGACCACCTGTAAAATGTGTTCAGGTTTTTATTCTAGCAAAACGAGCCAGAACAAGAAGGGGGTCTGGGACACTGTTGGGATTCACTGCCTGTTCAGCGAAACGTAAGGGGATAAACAGAGCATGGGTTCAAGTTCTATCATGCCGACTCTCAACTTAGTTGGCGTGTAGTCGTTCTTCAGGGGACCCTGAAGCAAACGAGGAGCAGAGAGCAAACCATCAAGGAGAGAAGCAACCTGGAACTACGGAGAAACTTCCTGACAGTGAGAACAATTAACCAGTAGAACTACCTGCCTCCAGAAGCAGTGAATGCTCCAACATGGAAGTTTTTAAGAAGAGACTGGACAGCCATTTGTCCGAAATGGTATAGGATTTCCTGCCTGAGCAGGGGGTTGGACTACATGACTTCCAAGGTCCCTTCCAACTTCATCATCATCATCATGTGTAACAGCACTTCAGCTAAGCTCTCCTGCAAATCTCCTTTCAATGAGCCATATTCATCTTGTGACTCTTTATGGTGCTCAGCCATCCCAAGATAAACAGCTATAAACCAAATCCCTGGACAACTGGTCTTTCAGCTTTATTCAGCTCCTAGGGTGATTAATTCCTTAAATAAAGCAACACTGGAATAAGTTAGAATTTTTATTAGTTTTATTATTATTTTTAGTATTAGTATTGTTTAACAATTTGGATATGTATTGTTTAATAATTAGGATATTAACTTGTTTATTATTATGTTTATTGGAGTTAAAGCGCATTATGGACTTGGTTATTTATATAGTTGGTTAATGTTAGAGTATGATTATTATATTTGTAACCCTGTACTCAGCTCTGGGAAGTGGGGGAGGGAGAGGGGAGGTTGGGGGGGTGGGTTTTGGGATGTATATTGTAACTTTTATAAAACTTTTCAATAAAAAAAATTAAAAAAAAAAGCCAAGGTTGCCTACCTCTGAACTAAGTAATAAAATACTAATAGTCAAAGGCAGTTGTGGCGAAAGCAGCAGTCTAGAAACTGGGAGACAGTGAATTCTAGTCTCACCCTAGGCACAAAGCCAGCTGGGTGAATCTGGGAGTCAGTCACTTTCTTTCAGCCTGAGGAAGCAGGCAATAGCAAACCACTTCTGAAATCTTGTCAAGAAAATGGCAAGAGCTAGTACAGGCATTGATCAGGAGCCAAGACTGCCTTCCAGATCCTTGGGAAGGCCTCAATACACAGACAAAAAGGCCAAATTTAATCTAAACATCTGTGACCGCCATAACAATAAAAAAAAAATGCTACACTATCCATCTCTGGGGAGACAGGGGCAGCAAACAATCTCTAAAACCTGTACTTATGAGATGTTTGACAGCAAGAACAATCTAATAAGGTAATTAATTAATTAATCTAATACGGTTGCTGGAACTGGGTATATGTAATCTAATGAAGGACAAGGGGGGACATGATAGCAGTGTTCTAATATCTCAGGGGCTGCCCCAAAGAAGAGGGAGTCAAGCTATTCTCCAAAACGTCTGAAGGCAGGACAAGAAGCAACGGGTGGAAACTCATCAAGGAGAGAAGCAACCTAGAAATAAGGAGAAACTTCCTGACAGTGAGAACAATTAACCAGTGGAATAACCTGCCTCCAGAAGCGGTGAATGCTCCAACACTGGAATTTTTTAATAAGAGACCTGACAGCCATTTGTCCGAAATGGTATAGGGTTTCCTGCCTGAGCAGGGGGTTGGACTAGAAGACCTCCAAGGTCCCTTCCAGCTCTATTCTGATTGATTGGGTGACATGATAGCAGTGTTCCAATATCTCAGGGGTTACCACAAAGAAGAGGGAGTCAAGCTATTTTCCAAGGTGCCTGAAGGCAGGACAAGAAGCAACAGATGGAAACTAACCAAGGAGAGAAGCAACCTAGAACTAAGGAGAAACTTCCTGACAGTGAGAACAATTAACCAGTGGAACAACCTGCCTCCAGAAGCGGTGAATGCTCCAACACTGGAGGTTTTTAAGAAGAGACTGGGCAGCCATTTGTCTGAAATGGTATAGGGTTTCCTGCCTGAGCAGGGGGCTGGACTAGATGACCTCCCAGGTCCCTTCCAACTTTTATTATTGTTGTTGTTGTTGGGGGCAAGGTGCTGACTCTGTAAAGTGTAAACCACTTGGAGAAGAGGGCTGTAAAGCACCTTGAAGCAGGATATAAGTCTAAGTGCTTCAACTCCCAGAATTCCCGAGTCGGCATGGATGGTTCAGGAACTCTGGAGATTGAAGCCTACAGGTCATACAAGAGCCCAGCCCTCCTTGAATTCGGTTGACTCTTAATCAACCCAAATTTAGTGCTGACTATTGGTTGATAGATTCTTGCGTAAAGGCTTGAGCAATATACCATTTTAACTGGAACTTGGTGTGTGGTCACAATCCTTCACCCCTGACACTTCCTCTCTCATCTCATTAAGACACCCAACGGCAGGCACACATTCCTCCGATCGAAACAGAACTATAAAGGGCAGAACTACTATGCAGTGGAAAAGACTAGCAAACTCAAGGGGGGAACCCAGATTCAGTTAACGGCCCCCGCAAACAAAAAAAAGAAAAAGTGATATCAGGCGCGACTCGCTTAATGGCTACATCCCTCAATAAGGAAAGTTATGGAGGGAATTGTGGTCGTATGTTGAGGACTGCCTGTCCTTTCCATCATCGCCCTGCCCCACTGATGCCCTGCCTACCCGAAGCCGCTTAAGAAAAGCCCTGGACCCCCTTTGCAGACCAACGCGAAACATGACAACTGCTCACCTTGCATACGTTGTGCTGGCACACCGTGGTGATCGGTCGGAAAACCACCTCTTGACAGCAAATGCACAGAAAGGTTTCCTCCACTTTGTTCAGGAATTTCTGCCAGGAGAGAGAAGGAAGGTCATTCAGAGTACAGAGAAGAGCAACAAAGAGGATCGGGGAACTGGAGGCTAAAACATACGAGGAACGGTTGCTGGAATTGGGTATGTCTAGTTTAATGAGGAGAAGAACGAGGGGGACATGATAGCAGCGTTCCAGTATCTCAGGGGCTGCCCCAAAGAAGAGGGAGTCAAGCTATTCTTCACTGAAAGCAGGACAAGAAGCAAGGGATGGAAACCAATCAAGGAGAGAAGCAACCTGGAACTAAGGAGAAACTTCCTGACAGTTTCAATTAACCATAATTTGGTAAGTCTCTAGTTTAATGAAGAGAAGGACGAGGGGTGACATGATAGCATATAGAGATATTTGAGGGGCTGCTCCAAAGAGGAGGGGGGTCGTCCACCTATTTTCCAAAGCACCTGAAGGCAGGACAAGAAGCAACGGATGGAAACTAATCAGGGAGAGAAGCAACCTAGAACTAAGGAGAAACTTCCTGACAGTGAGAACAATTAACCAGTGGAACAACCTGCCTCCAGAAGCAGTGAATGCTCCAACACTGGAGGTTTTTAAGAAGAGACTGGACAGCCATTTGCCTGAAATGGTGTAGGGTTTCCTGCCTGAGCAGGAAGCTGGACTAGGTGACCTCCAAGGTACCTTCCAAGTTGTTTATTATTATTATTATTATTATTATTATTATTATTATTATTATTATTATTATTATTACTACTACTAATGTTATTGTGGTTGTTGTGAGTTTTGCCCCATTTTACAATCTTTCTTGCCGTAGTTGTGAAGTGAATCGCTGCAGTTGTTAAATTAGTCCCATGGTTGTTAAGTGAACATGACTCCATCGACTTTGCTTGTCAGAAGGTCGCAAAAGGGGATTACGTGATACACACACCCCGGGGACACTGCAGCCGTCATAAATATGAGCCAATGACCAAATATCTGAATTTGGATCACATGACCGTGGGGACGTTACAAGTCATTAAGCGTGAAAAACGGTCATAAGTCACCTTCTCCCAGTGCAGTTGTTAACTTCGAACAGTGACTAAACCAACGGTTGTAAATCAAGGACTTCCTGTACTGATGCAGCCTGAGTATCCCATTCCAGAATCTTTTGGTACTTAAAGGGTTTGAGTGAGTTGGACTAAAGAGAGCAAAGAGCTATGAGCTTGGCTGTTTTCTTGGCTCAGAGCCTAATCATGTTCTCTTCAATAAAATATATATCAGTGGTGGTGAACCTATGGCACGCGTGCCAGAGGCGACACTCAGAGCCCTCTCTGTGGGCACGTGCGCCATCGCCTCAGCCCCGCCTCCCCCCGCGGCCCCCTCATCAGTAGCCCTCCTGGAGGAGTCACCCCGGAGCGCGGCCCACACAAAGCAGCGCAGCCAAGGACATGGCAGCCAGGCAGCGGGGACAAGACTCCGCCCTTGCACCCCGTCGCGCGCAATTGATGCTGCGGGGCGCAGGTGTAGCTGGGCCACCTGGCTGATTGGCAGGCTGTGAATGGCCCTGCGGGTGGGCAGAGCAGGGGGCGGAGTGGGGGTGCAAGGTGGGGGCGGGGCTGGGTTTTGAGCACTTGGTCTCTAAAAGGTTGGCCATCACTGATATACACACATGTGCTAATACAGCAGGATCTAACAAACCACAATTACAGCAGAGAGAACACATCTGCCGAGCCTTCCCTTTATACAAAGGCTCTTAAAGAGACGCAGACCCTGCTGAGCTATTTCCATTCATTACATTACATGTTACATCCTACATTACATAAGCTGGTTAGCTGTTAAATCAATACCTTGACAACTGATAGTGTTATTTGGTTGGTTCATAAAACGTCTGCAAGTAAACCACCAAGCTCAGAGACCACAAGAAGCTCACAGACATGGCTTGATGAACCATCTGTCAAACTTGGCATTTAAAGCAAAGTTCAAAAGGAAGCATAATTAAAATCCAACACCCAGAGAAGCAGGGATTAACCCTAGACCAGTGGTTCTCAACGTTTGTGTGACGGCGACCCCCGTCACACAAACGTTCTGCGCATGCGCAGCGCCACGCGCATGGGGTTGGGGCCGCGCATGCGCGGCAGCGCCCCCTGAGGGGGAAAAATGGCAGATCGCCGCCTTTGGCGACCCCCGAAAAATGGTCGATTGACCCCAAATGGGGTCGCGACCCATAGGTTGAGAACTGCTGCCCTAGACAAACATTCGGGAAGTAAACAATATCCCAGTCGAGAAACTACGAAGGAAAAAAACCACAGTCCCACCAATCCTGGCAGGGCAAGCTACTGTACATAAAGAGCAAACTTTCTCCCTTCTAGGACTGATGGTATTACCTAGTTGGGTCATGAAACGTCTGCAAGGAAACCACCAAGCTCAGAGAGCACCGAGGACCCCACCTCCTCCTCATTTTCCTCCTCCTCCCCACAACCCCACTCCCTTCTAGCACTGATGACATTGCCTAGTTGGGTCCTGAAACGTTTGCAAGAAAACAACCCAGCTCAGAGGGCACCAAGGACCTCACAGTTCAACCGTGAGCTACACATATTCTCTTCCGCTGGTTTTTCTCCCTGCGTGGTAAATTTATTGACAGGCAGTTCAGGTTCCGATGGGCTTTTGCGACAATGCTTTCAAAACCATTTCCTCTCGTCTATACGATCCTGTCATTTCATTCCACGGCACTCGAAGACCGGGTCATCCCCAAAGCCAACCACAACACCCATCATCAGGGACCCCCAGTGATGCCCTCCCTACGTACCGGTCCCTCCTTCAGGGCTTCTAGTGCTTCATTCCACAACTTGATGTTGGCTTCATCGTCTTTGATAAGAGCCTTCTGCTGGGGAGTGAGTTTGTAGACTTCGACTTTAGTCTTCTTTGGGGTGGCAGCAGGAGAGACGCAGAGGTCCGAATCGTTTCCTGGAAAGCCCACAACCGTACAGGATTTATTTAAATTCATTTATTTCATTCATTCAATTCATTCATCAAAGAGAGACTTCAAAAAAAGATGTGCGGGCAACTCAATTCCAGAAGATCACTTACCAGATTTCCTTTTTCTCTTCCCTTGCCCTGGGGTTTCTTCTTCTATTTTCTTGCTGTTCTCTTTATCTTTGTTTGCCACGGCTTCCAGGTACCCTTCGGGATACTAAATCAGGGGTGAGGAAAAGGTTAGTTGGGACATAACCGCCGCCTGTCAAAAATGGTGGGTGGCAGCTCCTGGCCGCCCTTTGCAAGACGCCGCTGTGTACCTGCATTGTCAGACCAAGCTTCTTCATCCTCTCTTTGCCTTCTCGGGTCCAAGGGGCTGGCTCTTCGTCGTCTCTCCTGAGCATGTAACGCCAGACCAAAAAACCAGATTTCCCCGTTTCGGGCCAATATTTAACTACCTTTAAAAGGGAACAGAGAAACGGGGTTCAGTTCTATAAAGACCAATTGGTGTCGTGCTTAAAGCACCAAGCTAGAAATCGGGAGACGGTGAGTTCTAATTCTGCCTTAGGCAAGAAACTGTGCTCGTTGACTTTGGGCCCATCACCAGAAGGTGAGTTCTAGTCCCGCCTTAAGCATGAAATCTGGCTGGGTGACTTTGGGCCCATCACTAGGAGATGGTGAGTTCTAGTCCTACCTTAGGCATGAAAGCAAGCTGGGGGAACTTTGTGCCCATCATCAGGAGACGGTGAGTTCTAGTCCTGCCTAAGGCATGAAAGCTGGTTGGGGGACTTTGGGCCCATCACTAGGAGAGGGTGAGTTCTAGTCCCACCTTAGCCATGAAAGCCAGCTGGGGGACTTTGGGCCCCTCTATCTTAGCCCAACCCACCTCGTAGGATAGCTGCTGTGGAGCAAAGTAGAAAGGAACATTAGATTTGTGCACCGCCTTGTTATTTGCAAAAATAGTAAAGGTGGGACATAAAAAAATAATAAAAAAGTAAACTAAAGTGAAGGTAAGGGTAAAGTAAAAGTAAAGTAAAGATAAGGGTAAAGTAAAGTAAAAGTAAAGATAAGAGTAAAATAAAAATAAAAGTAGAGGAGAGTAAAGTAAAGATAAACGCTGAAATGAAATGGCCAGGCACAATCCCTGCTATCCCCAAACTTTGGGGTCCCACTTGCAAACCAACCAAATGGTACCTTATAGATCCCATCGTAGCGATTTCCATCTGTGGGGGCGTATTTGCTGTATCGGCCTCCCTTCACATTCCGTACCACCCGAACAGGTTTCCCGGCTCGCCAGTCCTTGGCTTCGGCACCCTCTTTATCGTTAATCGGTGCGCTGCAGTTCAGGGCCAGAGCTCTGCCAAGCGTGAACAGACACAGGGGCTTGAGGGACTTCCCTGACCTCCCCTTCTAGAGGCAGGCCTCGACTTGCAGGTATATATTTAGCAACCATTCAAACTTACAACACTGAGAGAAGTGACTTACAACCAGCACCCAGTCACTCCAGTCATATTATAATGCGGTATTATCAAGTGAAAATACCACATTATAATGTCGTGGTAAGGCCACACTGGGAATATTGCATCGTTTTGGTTGCCACGATATAAAAAAAGAGGTTGAGACTCTAGAAAGACTACACAGAAGAGCAACTAGGATGATTAATGTTCTGGACACATAAAAAACAGTTGCTAGAAATGGGTATGTCTAGTCCAGGGGTAGGCAACCTCGGCTCTTTTACGACGTGTGGACTTCAACTCCCAGAATTCCTAAGCCAGCCATGCTAAGGGGAAAGGGAGAGGTTTCCAAGCTGAGCCATGCTGGCTTAGGAATTCTGGGAGTTGAAGTCCACGAGTCGTAAAAGAATCAAGATTGCCTACCTCTGGTCTAGTCTAATGAAAAGAAGGACGAGGGGGGACATGAGAGCAGTGTTCCAATATCTGAGAAGCTGCCACAAAGAAGAGGGGGATCAACCTATTCTCCAAAGCGCCTGAAGGCAGAACAAGAAGCAACGGATGGAAACTAATCAAGGAGAGAAGCAACCTGGAACTAGGGAGAATTTCTCCGACAGTGAGAACAATCAACCAGTGGAATAGATTGCCTTCAGACATCGTGGGTGCTCCAACACTGGAAATTTTTAAGAAGAAATTGGACAACCATTTGTCTGAAATTGTTTATAGCAGGGATCTTCAAACTTGGCCCTTTTATGACTTGTGGACTTCAACTCCCAGAACTCCTCAGCCGGTGTGCCTGGCGGAGGAATTCTGGGAGTTGAAGTCCACACGTCATAAAAGGGCCAGGTTTGAAGACCCCTGCTATATAGGGTCTCCTGCTTGTGCAGAGAGTTGGACTAGAAGACCTCCGAGGTCCCTTCCAACTCTGTTATGAAGAAAATATGGATGTCTGGCAACCACCATGCATTTACAGATGTTGGTATATCCTAAATCGGTGTTCCTCAACCTTAGCAATTTTAAGATACGTGGACTTCAACACCCAGAATTCCCCAGCCACCGTGGCTGGCTGGAGAATTCTGGGAATTGAAGTCCACTAGTCTTAAAAGTTGTCACGGTTGAGAGATACTGATTTAGGTCTAAGGTGAACATTTGTAAGCATTGGATATATCATTCATCAGCTATTTGATTGAGTTACTTTCCATCCAGCTGCACAGCTTTATTGGAGAGCTGTATCTTACATTGGTGGATGTTCGTGAGCAAAGAACGTGATTCCAATAATACAAAATAGGTGTGCAATGGCACAGTATCAGGTACATGAGCACATGAGAATAATTGGATGAGAATAGAAACTACAAAAATACTTCCGTGATTCAGCAAGAATGCCTCCTTGCTGGTCGCCTCTATGGGGCGACTTTTGACCCTTTTCAGGGCCCCCCAGCAAAGCAAAACTGGCCGGGGGAGACGGAGCTCGTCTCCCAGGCGTCCATAGCAGCCGCGCAGTAAACTGGAAGTCTTTCCCTGCTGCAGACAAGCCACTAAGCGGCCGCTGAATTATAAATGCAATTTTTAAAACTGCTCGGAGGTATCAAACAGGTTTAAGCTCCGTTCTCTCCCCGTCTTTTGCAGAATTCCTTGGGGGGGGGGTTTCTCCTCACCTGTTCATTTTTGTAAGTTTTTGATCGCAAGACTGTTCAGCTGTCCGTTTGTTTCCCGAAAGGTCACGGCCTCCACTCCCCGTGTAAGTGAAAGAATTTCCATGATCCTGAAATACATTCAGATGGTTCAATCCAGGGGTGAGAAAAATGCCACTCAGCTGGTCACTCGAGCACATGAATAAATTGCATTTTGGCACTTGACGCTGATTTTGGTTTGGATATTTGCTTCCCTGTCTTAATTGGCAGGCCATGCTTTTAGCATGGTGCCTGTGGAACACTGAAATATTTCTCCAACTTGGCGTTAGTTCAGAATTCCCTTGGCAAAGTGCTCTGAGTTCCTCCAAGTGTGAACATTTGCAAAGAAGGTTTTGACCCGAGTTCTAGCTTTGCTACACCACAGCTGAATCAATACATATAAGTCCTCAACTTTCAATCAGTCGCTTATCAACTATTCCAAGTTACAACAGATATCCCCAAAGCTACTGATGGCCGTTTCAAAATTCTGGTGTTGATTCCTTCCCAAGATCACATGACCACATTTTCGATGGTCAGCAAATGGGATTATGCCCATTTGCTCTGCCCCATGGTCACATGACTGAGGTTTATGTTTCTAGTGGTTTTCTTAAAACCAGCTTTTACTTCTGGTTTCTGGCAAAAACAAGCCCATGGCAAACAATTGGTTCACTTAACAGTTGTTGCAAAAAAGATCAACAAAGAAGAGTCCAGGTCCATGCTGGTCTGCTTTATAACTGTCATGACTTTATGATCGTAATTGCCAGGCTTAATTACCATCTGAATTATGGTCTGAACTCGAAGACTACCTGTACATAAAATTATTTCTTCTTTTTATATCAATACAAATGAGTAGCCTTTGGCCTGAGCACTGATTTCCATATTTTAGAGCCAGCCCAGATGATCAATTTTGTTACACACACACAAAACCAAAAAGACGCAACAGTACCACGACACATTCCTTTTGCACTCAATGGCTTTTTTAAAAAGAAAGAAAGAAAGAAACGAAGGAGAAACAGCACCTCTTCCCACTTTGGAAGACTCCAAGTTGCTCTGATCCAACTCCCCCCAAATCAGAGCTAACTAAGCTAGATCAGTGTTTCTCAATCTCAACAACTTTTAAGACGTGTGGACTTTAGATCCCAGAATTCCCCGTGCAACAGCAGCAACTGTGGGGAATCGTTGTTTCAAACTTGCTCTTAAGCAAGTAAGCCAAGCCCTGGTATTCTCTTTTAACGTCGTTTCTTACATTTATTTTCGTTCAAATAGCATATCACTTATGTGCACAGCTCAGAGGGTGTTAAGACTGGAGCAACATCTAAGCCCAGTAAACAAATAAACCATTTTAGTCCACGATCAGGCAATTCTGCTTCAGCTTAGTACTAGAACAGAAACTTGACAATTTAATTCCAACTAATGCAGAGCTGAGCAGCCCTCCCTTGCAAAGGAGCCCACCCTAGCCTTTAGTTATTAAATCAATTTTCTTGAACCCAAAGAACCAATTTTCAGGGTTTGACTGTGCACTAAGCAGAAGCTCAGGGGAAATGGCATCAGCCGCTAATTTAAGGGGTGATGAAGGGAAGAAAAGTCAGCAGAAGAATCACAGACCAGGTTATCTTGGCAGTTACCTATGGTAGGGGCTCTCGAGATGGCTGAGGCAAATAATTCAGTTCTGTAATAACCAATTAATTGTTCAAACTAAGTAATTAAATTCAACAAATTTAATTTAGCTGAAATACAAACATCTCATTGGCACCGGGACTTTGAATAACGAGGAGGGCAGCACTGAGAGACGCAACAATGGCACTTACTACATCGTCTTCGTATCCGCCCGCCAGGACCAAAGAATAGGCGCCATCGTTGCTCCTGCCATGAATCCCTGCCACGTGAGGCCGGTGGACCCCCGACTCGCTCACCTGATGGGGAAAAGGCAAGGTCATCGGTCAAGGTATTAATTTAATAGCTAAACAGCTGATGTAAGGATGTAATGTAACATAAGGTGGATGATGCAATGATAGGAATGATTCAGCAGGTGTCTGTATCCCTTTAAAAGCAAGCAGGGTCTGTATCCCTTTAAGAGCCTGTTTCCTGCTGTATGTTGGAGTTTGCTATATTACGTGTACAGTAGTGGCCAAAATTGTGGAAACCTATTAGGAAAAGTGTATTTTTGAGGTTTGCTGTCTAATAACACCACTTTTTGGGGGGAACAGTACCATACAATTATATATCAATGGAAACATAATTTAATCAAGAATATAACGCAACATAGTCTGTTCAATTATCTGTACTGTATTCTGTGAAAAGGTATAGCCAAATAACCAGTAAAGGAAGCCCAACTTGCTTAGGTTGATATCAGGTAGCTTTCCTTCATCTGATTGTAGCCAATGAGCATGAGTGTTTAGAGAGCCAATCGGGTGTCATCTTGTTTTGGCAATGAGTCAATCAGATCACAGTAGGATTCAGTGATTGATGTCATGTATTGAAGCTGAGAGGAGGGCATTTGTCAGCATGTTATGTGATTGCTATCAAGTTGGTTGGGATTTTTTGTGTTCTTTCACTTAGTGAGCTTGTAAAGCGTAACAAAAACAAAGTAATGGTGCAAAGAGTTGACTGGTCGCCCAGAAAGCAATGTAAAATAGTATGATTAAGTGAACAAGGCTACAGTTATAAAGAAATTAGAAGAAAAAAATGGTGGAAACTTAACCAAAGGTGGCATTTCTACTGTACACTTTTCCCAAAAAGTTTCCACAATTTTGGCGACTACTATATGTATCTTGTTTCTAGTGTATATTGTAGATAGTGTAATATACACCACCATTTAACATAAACCACTGTTTACTGTATTTAATCCTGGGTTACCTCAGGACAATAAGACTGTGCATGCTCTGACATCACAGGTCAAAGCTTCAGCGCATGAGCAGGCCACCATAATTGTCATAATTACAAGAACAAAGAGAGAGCCACTCCCCACACCCATTTACATTTTAGAAATCTGAAGCAGCATTTCAGCAAGACTGGTACGTCCTCAGCTTGCAATCACAATTCAGCCCCAAATTTCTGCTGCTAAGCGAGACAGCTGCTAAGTGAGTTTTGCCTCATTTTACAACTTTTCTTGCCACAGCTGCTAAGCGAATCGCTGCAGTTAGTTAACACGGCTGTGACGCGAACCTGGCTTCTCCCCACTGACTTGGCTTGTCAGGTGGTCACAAAAACAGATCACATGACATCCTAACACTGCAACGGTCATAAATACAGGCCAGATGCCAAGCATCCCAATTTTGATCACGTGACCGCAGGAATGCTGCCGCGGTTGTTAAGTGGGAAAAATGGCCTTTAAAATCTTTTTTAGTGCTGTTGTGATTTTGAACGGTCACTAAATGAATGGTTGTAAGTTGAGGACGACCCGTATAATGGTAAAATTTGTACATTTTATACAAATGTACAAAAAAAAGAGTACAATTTTCCATCCAAATAAAACTGTACATTGGCAACAAGCCCAGAGAATACAGGTAGTCCTCACATAACAACAGTTAAAACCTGGCCCTTTTATGACTTGTGGACTTCAACTCCCAGAATTCCTCCGCCAGGCACACTGGCTGAGGAATTCTGGGAGTTGAAGTCCACAAGTCATAAAAGGGCCAAGTTTGAAGACCCCTGCTATAAACAATTTCAGACAAATGGTTGTCCAATTTCTTCTTAAAAACTTCCAGTGTTGGAGCACCCACAATGTCTGAAGGCAATCTATTCCACTGGTTGATTGTTCTCACTGTCAGAGAAATTCTCCTTAGTTCTAGGTTGCTTCTCTTCTTGATTAGTTTCCATCCGTTGCTTCTTGTTCTGCCTTCAGGCGCTTTGGAGAATAGGTTGATCTCCCTCTTCTTTGTGGCAGCTTCTCAGATATTGGAACACTGCTATCATGTCCCCCCTCATCCTTCTTTTCATTAGACTAGACCAGAGGTAGGCAACTTGATTCTTTTACGACTCGTGGACTTCAACTCCCAGAATTCCTGAGCCAGCATGGCTCAGCTTGGAAACCTCTCCCTTTCCCCTTAGCATGGTTGGCTCAGGAGTTGAAGTCCACGCGTTGTAAAAGAGCCAAGGTTGCCTACCCCTGGACTAGACATACCCATTTCTAGCAACTGTTCTTTATGTGTCCAGAACGTTAATCATCCTAGTTGCTCTTCTGTGTAGTCTTTCTAGAGTCTCAACCTCTTTTTTTATATCGTGGGAACCAAAACGATGCAATATTCCCAGTGTGGCCTTACCACGGCATTATAATGTGGTATTTTCACTTGATAATACATTATAATATGACTGGAGTGACTGGGTGCTGGTTGTAAGTCACTTCTCTCAGTGTTGTAAGTTTGAATGGTTGCTAAATAAATACCTGCAAGTCAAGGCCTGCCTCTAGAAGGGGAGGTCAGGGAAGACCCTCAAGCCCGTGTGTCAAGAATTCTGGGAGTGGAGGTCCACAAGTCATGAAGAGGGAATAGTTTGCTCATGCTGGCTGAGGAATTCTGGGAGCTGAAGTCCACAAGTCTTAAAGTTGTCAAGGTTGCAGACCCCTGCTTTAAACATTACAATGCTGGCCAACAAGGTTCAGTTTTTCCCTTCTATTCCCTTTTCCTTCAGACTCAAACACTTTACCCACTGACACCCAGTTAAGATCTTCTGTACGTTCTTAAGGCTTGCTCATAGCAGCCTCTCACCTGGACTCTGAATTTCCACATGGTTCCCACTGGAACTCCAGGGATGGGCCCATAATGGTTGGATGGCACAATGGTACATTCCCTCGTGCGTCCCACACACGCCATGCCCTTAAAAAGTAAAGGGGGAGAAAAGGGGTCCACATTTTAAACATAATCAACACAAATCAGCCAAACAGTTGAATCAAAAATTGGCTAAAGTCTGCCTGCACTTTTCCAATCTTCTAATAAAGCACACACACGTTGCTCAAAATCACCAGAATTAGCCCATCGGGCCTCTCAGCTGCACAGTCTTGGATGGGAGAAATGGATCTGTCCCTGTGCATGGCATTGCCTCCAGGAAACGGGGCGAACTCCATGCCATTCGCCCCCTTGGTTTTAGTTTTTTTTAAATATGTTTAGTTGTCATTTGTTTTATATTTAGGTTTTTTTTTTTGCTTGTAAATGTTTGTAAGCTGCCCAGAGTCACCTTATAGGTGAGACTGACGGCCTATACATTTTATTAATTAATTAATGTGCTATAGGACCTCCTCTCAATAAAACTGCATGCAGCTTATAAGGTTGCTCTGATTAGCTACTTTCATCAGTGTTATTTACATCCCATCTTAGTTTTAAAATTAACTCAAGGGTTGGACTCGATGACCTCCAAGTTCCCTTCCAACTTTATTATTATTATTATTATTATTATTATTATTATTATTATTATTATTATTGTGGATCATCGCACAGTCAGCCAGATGTTTAGACTGGATTTGGCATTTTGTCTACCTATCGAGTCCTTACCCAGGACTTGGGATAGGCAGGTGTGGATGTTTGATGGTATTACAGGTATCGTCGCAGTTCCTAGTAAGGCCGCCTTTTGCAATTGACTAATAGCGAATTTGTCAATGCCAATGGTGTTCAAGTGGTGCTCCAGTTGTTTTGGGATTGCACCCAAGGAGCCTATGACTATTGGTACTACCCTTGCTTGCTTTTGCCAGTCTTTCTATTTCTATTTGTAGGTCTTTGTATTTTGTTATATTATTATTATTATTATTACTATATGCAATACATCTTCCTCCTCCTATTTTTTTCTCCAAAGCAACAACCCTATGAGATGGGTTGGCCTAAGAGAGAGTGACTTCCAAAGTCATCCAGCTGGCTTTTATGCCTAATGTGGAACTAGAAGTCATCGTCTCCCAGTGATTGGGCCAAAGTCACCCGGCCGGCTTTCATACCTAATGTGGAACTAGAAATCACTATCTCTTGATGATTGGCCCAAAGTCACCCAGCCGGCTTTCATGCCTAATATGGAACTAGAATTCACTGTCTCCTGGTGATTGGCCCAAAGTCACTCAGCTGGCTTTCATGCTTAAAGCACGAGTAGAACTCACCCTCTCCTGATGATTGGCCCAAATCACCCAGTCGGTTCTCATCCCTAAGGTGGGACTAGAATTCACTCTCTGCTGATAATTAGCCCCAAATCACCCACTTGCCTTTCATGGCTCAGGTGAGACTTGAACTCACAATCTGCCACTTCTTAGTCTGGTGCCTTAGCCACTACACCCAGCAATTCCTCCTCCTCTCCATAAGCTTCCCAGCATTTTAATAAATTAGAAGCGTATTGAGCCATGTGAAGGGCATCTTTTGGTTGGCAACTAAAAAGCACAACCAGATTCCAGTTACCTTGCCCCAGTCCCGCTGAGAAGACGAGTTAGCAGACGCCATCTTAGATTTCTTTTTGCTTTCTTTCAGCTTCTCACCAGCCAAAACCACCTCACTCGCATCATTTCGGCATTCGGGACAATACCTAAACGGAGGCATTCATTTTTTATTTATTTTTTAAATCTGCAATACTAGAGAGGTATATATGAAGAGCTACTTTTGCAATTCCAAACGGTGCAGTTATAGAAGGTTACAGCTTTCCAAGACTCCCCAAACCATTCGTTCAGTTCAGAGGTAGGCCACCTTGGCTCTTTTATGACTCGTGGACTTCAACTCCCAGAATTCCTGAGCCAGCCGTGCTGAGGGGAAAGGGAGAGGTTTCCAAGCTGAGCCATGCTGGCTCAGGAATTCTGGGAGTTGAAGTCCACGAGTCATAAAAGAGCCAAGGTTGCCCACCCCTATCCTAGGATGAAGATTTGTCTGAAATGGTACAGAGCAAGGGTTTTCAAACCTGCCCCAAACCATGCCAAACAGGACTGCATCTTGAATCAACCTTAATTCCCAATAAAGATAACTTTCCTTTCAGAAAAAAAAATGTTTTAGTTATTTAAAACAGGTACATAGGTAGCCCTTGATTTATCACCTTAACAATGAATGGCTTAGCAACCATTCGGACTTATGATGGACTCCCCAAAAAAGGTAGTCACACACCCCCCAGATTCCAATGGCCGGGGGGGGGGGGTTGTGTGATTGCATTTCGGGCACTCGGCAACCAACCCACATTTTGGCCGTTTGCGGCATCCTGCAGTCACATTTGTGTTGTTTATGAAATTTATCGGCCAGCTGTCTTACCTCTGGGTAATTTGGGGCGGTTTACAATTGTAAAGATAAAAATTGTGTAAGATAAAAATCATAAATAAACTAATATCCAAGTTTTTACCTCCATTTCTGGTGTAAAAAAAATCCAAAAAACCACCCATTGGAGACCAGGTTGATTCAAGCCTTCCAGATTCGCTTAAAGTTAGCTACACAAAAGTTGCAAAATCGGGTGTAAACATGTGGGGACACCACTTCATTATCGGCGTAACTTACGACCATAATTCCAGGCTCAGTTATGCTTGTCAGTCAAGAACTGCCTATATAGTTTGCCCATCCTATACCAAACCTTAGGAGGCCACAATCTTGCCAATTTCCCATATTTTTTTATAAAGACATTAACACAGTTAAGGAGAGATGCAACCCAGAAATTTATATCAGTGAATTAGTAGGATAATTGACTACTAATAAATAGCTCTATAGGACAGTCACACGTCTTCAGATTCACCGTAGGGTAATTTTTCACACAACCTTGCCCACTTTAATATGTGTGACCTTCAACTCCCAGCAGCTGTTTGCAGCAGGACTGGTGGGGCATTCTGGGAGCTGAGGTCCGCACATCTTAAAGTTGCCAAAGTTAAGAAACATTTTTTTTGCTAATATATTTTATTGATTTTTTTTAAAAAAACATAAATCACTTAATATATTGGTGACCAGTGTGTTGTCTGGGTTACATTCGTAAAAAGAATCACTAACGATTGATTTCTATAATCCATAATCCACATAATAGTTTTAGTTGATTTCCTCTTTTTCCCAAAATATCCTCTTTTGCAAACACTTAATACAATTCTTATTGTTTTGAGAGATAGCAATTAAATATATATATTTTTTCCCAACAGACCTAAAAATAATAATCACATCAATATAGTATTTCTTTTCTATCCAATCATTCTGGTTGCCTTATCATAGATCAGTGGTGGCGAACCTATGGCACGGGTGCCAGAGGTGGCACTCAGAGCCCTCTCTGTGGGCGCACGCATTGTCGCCCCAGTCCTAGGCCTTCAGCTGGGTTTTATAAAACCTTTTTCGCTTTAGGCCTCCGCCACCGTGTGCAAAAAAAAAGGGGTTCAATCAGTCAATTTCAACTTCTCGCGGGGAAAAAAAGATCTTGCAAATTGGAATTGATTGATTGAACTTTTTAGTCCCACCCAGTCTGCCGTTACCACCGCAGCCATGCCCACCCAATGGGCCACGCCCAGCCAATAGGCCACGCCCAGCCAGTGGGCCACGTCCAGCCAATGGGCCATGCCCACCCAATGGGCCACACCCACCCGACGATGCATAAGTGGGTTTTGGGTTGCAGTTTGGACACTCGGTTCGCCATCACTGCCATAGATCCTGTTGCAGTCCTTAAGAAGCATGGCTTGCAGTAACTCGTTGTGACTTACCAATCCTCGTCGTCGGGTATCCTGCTAAGAGGGGGGCTAAGACAATAAATGTGAAAAGCCATGTCACACTCATCACACATCAGCTGTTTTTCGGGATGTTGCTTCCCGCCGCATATGTGGCAGGCGCACATCCGGCAGGTTTTGTTCGGGTTGTCTTTGCAGTGCTTGCACACGGGACCGCTCTGCCCTGAATTTTAAGAAAAGCACACACAATATGAAGCACCTCAGAAAGAACGGGCAAAAGGCAGAGAGTCAAAACGGATGTGGGGTCTGAATCACATCCATGAGACGCGCAAATTATGACATTCACTAATATTAATTATGGCGATGGCACTAGCTCAAAGGGTATTTTAAAAGGGGGGGGGGGAATGAGAAAAATGATTAACATGTATCATGTGTGATGTTTAGTGATTAAGGCACCAGGCTAGCACCAGGGAACCAGTGAGTTCTAGTCCCACTTTAGGCTGAGTGACTTTGGCCAATCACCAGAAGACCTGAGTTCTAGTTTAATGAATGTCTAGTTTAATGAAGAGGACAAGGGGGGACATGATAGCAGCGTTCCAATATCTCAGGGGCTGCCCCAAAGAAGAGGGAGTCAAGCTATTCTCCAAAGCCCCTGAAGGCAGGACAAGAAGCAACGGATGGAAACTCATCAAGGAGAGAAGCAACCTAGAACTAAGGAGAAACTTCCTGACAGTTAGAACAATTAACCAGTGGAACAACCTGCCTCCAGAAGCGGTGAATGCTCCAGGACTGTAAGTTTTTAAGAAGAGACTGGACAGCCATTTGCCTGAAATGGTATAAGGTGTCCTGCTTGAGCAGGGGGTTGGAGTAGTTGACCTCCAAGGTCCCTTCCTATTTTTATTATTATGGATCATCGCACAGTCAGCCAGATGTTCAGACTGGATTTTGCATTTTTGTCCACCTATCGAGTCCTTACCAAGGCCCTGGGAGAGGCAGATGTGGATGTTTGATGGTATGACAGATCTCGTCGCAGGATGGAAGCAGTTCCTAGTAAGGCCGCCTTTTGCAATTGATTAATGGCGAATTTGTCAGTGCCAATGGTGTTCAAGTGGTGCTTCAGTTGTTGTATTATTATTATTATTGCCTTAGCCATGAAAACCAGCTGGGTGACTTCGGCCCATTCCCTCTCTCTCAGTCCAGCCTACCTCACAGGGTTGTTATGGTGGGGAAAATAGGAGGTCAGAGTGTTAGGTATGTTTCCTGCCTTAAATTATTTATGACAAGGGTAATAAAGATGGGATATAAATACATTAAAAAATTATTTTTTGAGGCAGCCTCTATCCACTGAGGTCCCAAGATCATTTTGTCCTGACCCGCCCTGCCACAAATATATTTGCGGCAAAAAACTACTACTCACTGCAAAGCAGGACAAGTCAACAGGAAGGCAACTCACTTTTTAGGGGACTTTCTGCAGTCAAAGGAACAGCACAGCCCGGTTCTTCGATCTTATAAATCTCGTCCACCAGAGCAATTCGACAATCGGTCAAGATATCTCCACCGTCGCTGCAAAACAGTGATTAGAAACAGCTGTGCAAGAGAGGCAGTAACAATGACGGTTTCTCTGGGCTTAATTCCTTCCTGCCAATCCCGCAAATGTTTACATTAATGCTGCTAATTTGGATATACATGGCAATCCTTCCCTTTCAACGTCTAAGTGAGAACATTTCTGGATTTTTTCTGTTTCCTCTTTGTTAATGTATATACTGTATTTATGTATGTATATGTATCTATGTGTATGTATGTATGTATGTATAACCCATTTCACTGTTGAGTGATTCTGAGCGGCTTGTTAGTTGCAAAGTCGTGTCTGACCCATCATGACTCCATGGACAACGTTCCTCCAGGCCTTCCTGTCCTCTACCATCTTCTGGAGTCCATTTAAGCACACATCTACTGCTTCAGCGAATCCATCCAGCCACCTCATTCTCTGTTGTCCCCTATTGCCCTCCATCTTTCCCAGCATCAGGTTCTTCTCCAGTGAGTCCTTCCTTCTCATTAGGTGGCCAAAGTATTTGAGTTTCAACTTCAGGATCTGGCCTTCTAAAGAGCAGTCAGGATTGATCTCTAGGATTGACTGGTTTGATGGCCTTGCAGTCCAGGGGACTTGCAGGAGTCTTCTCCAGCACCATAGTTCAAAGGCCTCCATTCTTTGGCGCTCAGCCTTTCTTATGGTCCAACTTTCACAGCCATACATTGCAGCTGGGAAAACCATGGCCTGGATTATACGCACTTTTGTTGGCAAGGTGATGTCTCTGCTTTTTAGTATGCTGTCTAGATTTGCCATAGCTTTCCTCCCCAGGAGCAAGCGTCTTTTAATTTCTTGGCTACAGTCCCCAACTGCAGTGATCTTGGAGCCCAGAAAGATAAAATCTGTCACTACCTCCATTTCTTCCCCATCTATTTGCCAGGAATTGAGAGGGCCGGATGCCATGATTTTGGTTTTCTTAATGTTGAGCTGAGCGGCTTACAATATCATAAAAACAGCAACATAAAATATTAAAAAATCAAAACACTGAAAGAGGACAAAAAAACCTGGGTAAAATAGGAACCAATACACGAACAAGGTGGATGCGGGATCTTCTCAGTATATTAAATCATGGGTCCCCAACTCCTGGGCCATGGCCTGTTCAGAACCGGGCGGTGCAAGCAGCTGGCCGGTGCACACATGCGCACATCTTGACTTACACGAGCAATGGGCCAGTTCCTTTCTCTCCTGCCCCTCCCACCCCGGGCCAAGGCGTAAAGCTTGGGGACAGCTACACTAAGCCACAGATCTTATCTTGAGGTGCACAATAATCCCGATGGCGGGAGTGTAATGGATGTATTTGTATCATAAATTATCTTTGCGTTTTTCTCCTTACTTTAAAAGCAACTAACAAAGGAAGAAAAGGGAAGAAAAAAGATCCAGGTTACATTCTCCTGGACTGCAAAAAGTTGAATAACAGTTTGCTTCCCCCCCCCCAGCAGGCACCTTCCACGCAGGCTCACTTACCCAAGAACGATCTTGGCGTATAACTCTTTGTAGGTCCTCGTTTCCCGCTTCTGGAGGATCTCGGCGTCGTACCAGAAGCCCCTCTCTTTGGGATCGTCGGGGTTATAATTCAACATGACGACGTCTCCAATTTCTATGTCTTCCCATTTTAAAACCGTCCTGGCGCGAGCGCGGACATTTTTGGAGCTCAACTGGATGACGCCGTTCTCTGGGTAACTTTATTGGGGAGAAGAAAATAAAATAAAATAACATAACATAAGCCAGTAGTGGCGAACCTATGGCACGCATGCCAGAGGTGGCACTTCGAGCCCTCTCTGTGGGCATGTGCGCTATGCTCTGGAAATGGCAACCATCCCTCTTCAACCAGCTTCCCGCTAACTCACCTGAGGTCCCACATGGCTGGATGCACCCCAGCACGGCTGGTTTCCCTCCCCCCCCGTCCCATCCCTTCTGGCCTCGCCTCCCCTCACCCCGCAGGATGAGCCTCCTGCCCACTGTCCCACCCACCAGAGACCTCCTTGATCTCCCTCCACCCTGGCAAGCCCCCACAGGAGTCCCTGCCCACGAGCAACATCGAGATGACCATGCCCACCTTGGCCACACCCACCCATTCTGCCATAACCACCACAGCCACGCCCACCCAATGGGCCACGCCCACCTGGCACCCGGCGATAAATAAGTGGGTTTTGGTTGCACTCGGTCTCTAAAAGGTTCGCCATCACTGACATAAGCCCTTCCATCTTTACCTGACAATGTCAGGTAGCCCTCAACCAACGACCGCAATTGAGCCCAAACGTGCGACTGTTAAGTGAGACATTTGATAAGAGAATTTTGCTCCATTTTACGACTTTCCCTTGTGCAGTGAATCACTGCAGCTGATGAGTTGGTAACCCGGTTTGTTAAGCAAACCTGGCTTGCCCACGAACTTTGTCAGAAGGTCTCAGAAGGGGATCACTTAATCTCAAAACATTTCAACCGTCATAAATATGAGCCAGTTCCCAAGCGTCTGAATTTTGATCACGTGATGATAGGGATTCTGCGACAGTTGTGAGTGTGAGAAACAGTCATGTCACTTTTTTCAGGGGTGTTGTAACTTTGAACAGTCACTAAATGAACGGTTGTAAGCCGAGGACTACCTATATTATGGTTCGTTGCAATCGATCCAGTTCAGACTGGATTTGGCATTTTCATCCACCTATCAAGTCCTTCCCAATACCTGGGATAGGCAGAGGTGGATGGTTGTTGAAGATATTGTTGCGGGACATAACAATATTCAAAGTCAAGCCACCTTTTGAAATTAGAATAGAATAAGAGATGGAAGGGACCTTGGAGGTCTTCTAGTCCAACCCTCTGCTCAGGCAGGAAACCCTATACCAGTGGTGGCGAACCTATGGCACGGGTGCCAGAGGCGGCACTCAGAGCCCTCTCTGTGGGCACGCATGCCGTCGCCCCAGTCCTAGGCCTTCAGCTGGGTTTTATAAAACCTTTTTGCTTTAGGCCTCCGCCGCCGTGTGCAAAAAAAAAAAAAAAATGGTTCAATCAGTCAATTTCAATTTCTTGCGGGAAAAAAAAAAGATCTTGCAAAGTTGAAATTGATTGATTGAACTTTTTAGTCCCACCCAGTCTGCCGTTACCACTGCAGCCACGCCCACCCAATGGGCCACACTCGGCCAATGGGCCACACCCACCCAGCACTCGACAATGCATAAGTTGGTTAAGGTTCGCCATCACTGCCCATTTCAGACAAATGATTGTCCAGTCTCTTCTTAAAAACTTCCAGTGTTGGAGCATTCACAACTTCTGGAGGCAAGTTGTTCCCACTGTTAGTTCTAGGTTGCTTCTCTCCTTGGATAGTTTCCACCCGTTGCTTCTTGTCCTGCCTTCAGGAGCCTTGGAGAATAGCTTGACTACCTCTTCTTTGGGGCAGCCCAAGATACTGGAAGACAGCTATCCTGTCCCCCCTCTTCCTTTTCTTCATTAAACTAGACACACTCAATTCCAGCAACCGTTCCTTATATGTTTGAGCCTCCAGTCCCCTAATCATCTTTGTTGCTCTTCTCTGAACTCTTTCTAGAGTCTCAATGTCTTTTTTACATTGTGATGACCAAAACTGGATGCAGTATTCCAAGTGTGGCCTTACCAAGGCATTGAAGAGTGGTATTAACACTTGATGTGATCTTGATTCTATCCCTGTTAATGCAACCTAGGACTGTGTTGGCTTTTTTGGCAGCTGCCGCACAGGGCTGGCTCATATTTAAGTGACTGTCCACTAGGACTCCAAGATCCCTCTCACAGTTGATCAATTGACAAATAAATTTTTTTTTTTTAATGCCAATGGTTCGCAGACAGGATTGTGGGAGCCTGGATGAATCCAGACCCAAATAATTTCTGCAACATCCACACCATTTTCAAAAGTACAGCTGCTTTCTGAACAAACAGCTGCTTTCTGAACAAACGCTTCCCCAGGCGCTAAGGGGGAAAAAAAATCAATCAAAATACTCACTCTTCATATTTCACGTGATACGTAATGTCCTCGTCGGGATCGGCTTCTTCCAGATTGGATTCTTCGTCACTTTCGCTCGCCTTGCTCGCCGAGTTCCCTTTCCGAGTCACATTCACAACTTGCGCTTCAAACCAGGCTCCCATGCTTGTGTCCCGAGCGTCTACCAACTCATTAATCTAAACCAGAAGCCCCAAAGCAAAATGCTGATTTTTAATTAGCTAACAGGAAAGTCACGACTTCAAAGTACAGCTTTTATGTGAATCCAGCTTTTATATATATAGTCTACCTGTTTTCAGGGTCTGAAAAAGCCCCCCCCCACACACACACAATTTTAGCCTCTTATTTATCTTCTAGGTACCAGCAGTCATGAAAACATCTTATTACTGCACAGGGCTGACGGCTAAGTATTTGATGGCTGTTCTAAAGTGCTAGGTTTCAGACTTTATACCAGTGGTTCTCAACCTGTGGGTCGGGACCCCATTTGGGGTCGAACGACCATTTCACGGGGGTCGCCAAACAAGGCTGTCTGCCATTTTTTTCCCTTTTCTTTGGCCACGCCCCTGGCACCCGGTGATGTATAAGTGGTTGGGGGTCACTGCTTTATACCCAAAGATCTCTGCTGCCTATTTGAATCCATTTTAAATATCTCGTCTTAAGTAAGCTATGCTTCACTTTTAAGTAAGCTATGCCGTTCTTGGACTTGACGTATCCAAACCTGGATCGGTTTGTTCAGATTGATAATTTAGTTAAAGTGGACAAGATTCCTCACGTAGCCTTCCAGTTCCCCATCCCAATTAGTGCAAAAATGGGAGGGTTCCCCCCCCCAAAAGATTGCGGTAAGAATTTAGCATATCTCTCTTTGTTCAGGATGCTGCTTACTTTATGCTGAACCTATGACCATGATGGAGCCTGCCCATTAAGGTCCCATGTCGTCGTGGTCATTAAGCAAGGCGCACAGGATCGCCTTGTTTAACGATGCTCATCTTTGCTCGCCCTGATGTAGCCATTAAATGGACCGTGGGGTCTCAGGGAAGGTCTGCGAGGGAGGGGGCTGTTAGCGTAGGCTAGGGGTAGGCAACCTTGCCTCTTTTATGACTCGTGGACTTCAACTCCCAGAATTCCTGAGCCAGCATGGCTCAGCTAGGAAAACTCTCCATTTCTCCTCAGCATGGCTGGCTCAGGAATTCTGGGAGTTGAAGTCCACGAGTCATAAAAGGGCCAAGTTTGAAGACCCCTGCTCTTAATCTTCGTCCTAGGATAGGTGTAGGCAACCTTGCCTCTTTTATGACTCGTGGACTCCAACTCCCAGAATTCCTCAGCCAGCATGGCTCAGCTTGGAAACCTCTTTCCCCTCAGCATGGCTGGCTCAGGAATTCTGGGAGTTGAAGTCCAGGCGTCATAAAAGAGCCGAGGTTGCCTATCCCTGGCATAGGACCATACTGCAGCAACTCCACAGATCACATGTGGCCCATCGTGGGCTTCCTCCACCTGAGGGTGCCTTGAGTTATTTAACAGAATAACAGAATTGGAAGGGACCTTGGAGGTCTTCTAGACCAGTCCTCTGCTCAAGCAGGAGACCCTATAAATTTCCAACCCCGTGGTTCCATTTAGGCCTTTCCCACCCCATTGGGTATCCTCAGCACTCCAGCCTGCTTTCCATCGCCCCGTCACCAACTGGTGCCCTACCTTTTGGGTATTATACATCACCTTCTGGAACTAGCTGTTGCATTATGCAACGGTCCTACAGTGGAGGCCACGTGGCTCTGTCCTAGAAGCAGGCACCAATTTTGGAGAGGCTACAATCAATTGCAACGGCTCCCAAGATGGCACCTGCTTCCAGAATAGGCAGGCCAGGGAGAAGGGCCATCTCCCCTTCGCCAACGTGACCTCCAAAGCTTCAGAGATCAGATTAATGAAGAAGAGCAGGCCGCTTCGCTCCTCAGCACCCCTCACGGGGGACCATCAGCATGTACAGATAGTCCTTGACTTGTGACAACGGAGCCAAAAGTTTTCCACTGCTCAGCAAGACGGTTGTTAAGTGAATTTTGACCAGTTTTACAGTCTTTCCAGCCAGAGCTGTTAAGCAAATCGCAGAAGCCGTTAAGTGGATTATGCTGTTGTTAAGCAAATCCAGCTTTCCCCACTGACTTTGTTGGAAGCCAGCTGGAGAAGGTCATAAAAGGTGATCATATGACCCTCTGGGACACGGCAACCGTCATAAAGAGGAGGCAAAATGTGAATTTTGATCATGTTAACCCTTGGGTTGCCAAATGGGTCATTAGCGTGGAAAAAGCACAGTCATGTTTTTCAGTGCCGTTGTCAATTCAAACGGTCGCTGCGAAATCAAGGACTACCTGTATTAGAGGGTCCAGTCTGCTAGGATTTCAGACACACGAACGAGAGACTGCCAAACCACTGGCTGGCTGTGGCTTGTTCAGTTGCCAGGGAGGCATTCGTTGTCAGAATCCCTCGAGTGACTAAGGTTAATCCTGGCTTAACGTACGATACAGACATGCTAATTCTCTGTGCAGTTTCCCCGAACTTAAGCACGCGGGCTCGCCTGCTTCAAAAGGTTCTTTGCATCTCAGCCTTCCGTGGAAAGCAGCCGCACCTTATAAAATCCAAAGCCGGGATCCACCAAGTCGGTCCCGACGGCGCTACTGCACTGGGCCTCCATCTCCACGGCCCCTTCCCCGTTATTGGAGCTTTTGTCCGATTCGCTCTGGCCTGAGCAGCATCCAGAGTCCGTGTCCGAAAGTTCAGAGTCTTTCTCCTTGTTCCCCAGGGGCAGGAGAGTGGGGCTTTGCCTCACTAACAGCTGGACGATGTCGTTCAGATTCACGCTGTAGTCAAAGAGGGAGTGGCCATCTTCCATCTGTAGGTTGAGAGAAGATCGGTCAAAGCAAAAAAAAAAAAGGGGGGGGGTGTTAACAAAAACGTTAAGATATGGGGTTCCTAGATGCTTTGCAGGCAGAAAGTTTCAAACTGAAGGACCAACCACTCCACATTAGAGATACCCACTGGAAACTTTGGAGGGTTGTCAATGATAGCAAAATAGCGACCTGGATTTCCAAAATATTCCAATATTAATCAAAGAGACGCTGGTGCTCTCCCTCACTGGAGGTTTTCAAGAATAGACTGGACAAACATTTGACCATTTGCACTACTCGGGTTATCTGTAAAGACACAGATAAGCCTCCAGGAAGCTTTAACAACTTGCTAAAACAGTGGTTCTCAACCTGTCGGTCGGGACCCCATTTGGGGTCAAACGACCATTTCACGGGGGTCGCCAAACAACGCAGTCCGCCATTTTTCCCCCCTTTTCCTTTGCTGTGCTACTCCCTTTTATTCTATTGGCTTTTGAAAGCCAACAGAACTCTTGAATAGAGTCTAATTCTATTGGCTTTCAAAAGCCAATAGGAATTGTCCAGGCTGTCTCTGCCCTGCTGAGCCCGCCAAAAGTCCCATTCTGCAAACGGTGCTGCACCAGTTGAGTAGTCCTCAACTTACGACCGGTTGAGTATTCCTCGACTTACGACCGGTTGGGGGGTCGCGGCATTAAAAAGATTGAGAACCACTGTGCTAAAAGGATGCAAATGAACAGCTGTCTGCAGGAGTATAAATCTTTCCATTTCCCACCATCCAGTCAGAGCTGAATGGATGAGAAGTGAAAAGTCTTCAAAGGAAAAGCATGAAAGTCCAGTTGCCTTGTGAAAAAGCATCCTTGGGATAACTATGACCTGTATGACTGAAAACCTCCATAGACATTTGACCAGATGATATAAATCAGGAGTAGATAACCTTGGCTCTTTTATGACTGGTGGACTTCAACTCCCAGAATCCCTGAGCCGGCATGGCTCAGCTTGGAAACCTCTCCCTGTCCCCTCAGCATGGCTGGCGCAGGAATTCTGGGAGTTGAAGTCCACGAGTCACAAAAGAGCCAAGGTTGCCTACCCCTGGTATAAGGTCTCCTGCCTTGAGCAGGGGGTTAGACTTGAAGACCTCCACAGTCCCTGCCAGCTCTATGATGCTATTATTCGTATTCCTTCTTTCCTTTCCAGTTCCCTGAAATCTTCCTATCCTCTGTCCTCCCCGCCTCCTGATAGCTGACAATATGTTGGGTTTTCCCCTAAACTATTTTGGCCCAGATCAAAAGAGGAACAACTACATTGTTTGTGGGCCAAAGTGTTTCTCAACATTTATTTGTGCAGCAAGACAAACAAAACCTATTATTATAATCCATCTATATACCACTGAACCTCTGCCTGTGTGTAACCTTTAACTGTGCAAAATGGTGCATATAGGGCAACAATTTTTGAAGCGAGATACCTCAAATGGGCTAACGTATAGAACGTATCCAGAATCTGGGACCCATGACTCCCATAGGATTGAAATTTGATAAAATATTTAATGATATAAGCCAATCATAAAACGTTGTATGACTTTATACAAAATGTGACAAAATCTCTCCTATGGTCCTGATGCTTTACTAAACAGTTCATCATGGACTATTTTCAAGGCAGATCCATCCCAGAATATCTTGATTTTTTTTAAAAGAACTTTTCCAGTGAAGTACAGTAGAAGCTCAGCCATTGTGAAAAGCATGAAGGAAACTAGTAAGGAAATATCTCTGAAACAATGACCCAACAGATCAGATTGTCTACTAATATAACAATAACATCAACCGCTGGTAAGACTTAAAATAGTTGGGAAAAGCCACTCCAGAAACAAAAAACGGTGAAAATCCTGGGAAAAACCCAGTTACATGGACAACCTCATTATCTTTTTGTGTCATTGCCGTCCCCTTCGAATCAAACAGCCACACATCTGGCTCAGCGTGTTGGTCTTATCCATAAATTAAAGGAATGACTAGGATTTCTATTCTGAGGGATATTCTAAGATACGAAGAAAATTTTTATTGGACAACAGAAACACTTACATTTTTAAAGAAGCTGATGGCCAAAGTGGTAGCTTACATTAAAAAGTCCACCTTACATGAATTATGTCTAGTATTAAGATAGATAAGATAACCTTTATTGTCGGGGTTTTTTTTTCTGTGAACACACTGGCACCCATGAAAAAATGAAATTCTGATGCCCTATCTCAAAAGAAAATTAAGCCTAAATGTTGAAAATCCAGCCAAACTAACAGTACTATCCAGGGCAGATTAGTATCTCAGTATATCACCATCTGTATTGCATGAATCACAATTCAACGATAGCTGGTTTAAGTGTTTTTAAGATAAAAAAGCTAGGACAATGCCTAAAAAGATCTAGCATCCAACTCAAAAGTTGAAATTAGTATCTTGAACTAGCTTGAAAAATGTTAATGCTCAAGCTATCTCCATTTTAAGGGCCCTCTTCAATCTTCAAGTATGCTAATGGCACATAGATGGTAAAAACTGATATCCTCATCCTGTTAATAAGAAACAATAATCATTAAACAAACAAGAGCCACTCAGAGGCATCAAAACCGGCCCTGTGAGTTCTGGCTAAGGACAACAGCAGCCACCAATACAAAGCTGACAAGTTGCATAGAATCAAAAGGCAACATGGCTCAACACAAAGTGTAAACTGTCTCACAAGAACGAAAGTTCTTCTTTGCACTTTGTGCAGACAAAAACCCTCAATGCAATAGACACACACACACACAGAAAAAATCGCTACCTTCCTTACTAGATTCAGTTAACAGAAAACTGTGTTAACACAGTTAATACAAAAATTCCATTATAGTTAAATTTGGGGGAAATATCTTTTTTTTTTTAAATTAAAAATAAGAACACAACTTTTTCTGGGTTCAGAAGCTAAGAAAGGCCAGGAAAACTACCAGAGAATTCAGGATTGTTGGCTAAAGTGGGAAGCTGGAAAAAAAATCCCCCCCCCATGGCACCCCCCACATCATCTTAAAGAAACTGAATGAATATGGGGACATCGCTATCTTTTTGTTTACCATCCAAACATTGTGGGAACATTAACACTAGAGGGCAGTGCAAGTATTTCCTTTTTTAAAATAAAAAAAAACAAATTAATAACAAGCGCCCTTTAGAAGCTTTTAACCAGTTCAAAAAAAGCCACTTATCTTAGAGACAGACACACATCAAATTCATTCATTCAAAAAAAATTCAGTCAAAGAGCTAGATTAACCAAACCATTACTTGAGAAAAGCAGTCTTATGGCATTATTATTACCCCTGTGTAAGAAGTAGCAGTTTCAATCCATTGGTACGTTTACTTATAGGTAATTGGGGGGGGGGGGTTTACAATGGCAGGACCAGGATTGTCATTGCTAAGCCAGGCAGTTGTAAAGCACAATGTTACAAATCCACATTGCTTAGTGACGGACAATCCTGGTTGCTGGCATAACCCTAAGTCTTGTTGATTTTTAAGCGGGAAGCGGTGGAAGAAGCCACAGGAGGACCAGACACACAGGAGTAGGTGGGAGGGCTTGGGAGGCCTGACACAGGAAGGTTAGAGGGAGTGGTACAACAGGACTCAAGAGGAGGAGGAGGAGGAGAGAATACTCATATTAGAGCAACTTGCAAACTTCTCTGTGGGCTTCCCCATTAGCCCGCAGGGAAGGCTGCAAAAGGTGATCACAATTGTGATCGTGTGACTGCAGGGGGGGCTGCAACAGCTGGAACTTCAAAGTACAACCTAGATCTAAGTATCACTTCGGTACAGTGTCTGAGGGATGCAACATGCATCGGTAGCATGGAGAGAACATCACTGTTCACAGCAACTAGTTTTGATATTGATCCAGCTGGATCAACCTTAAGATCACCACTATATACACAGACGTGCTTTTCCTCCTAACTTTAAAAGTGCACATGCCTTTTTAAGGGCACTCTTGAAGTCTGAACAAGCCTTGATTTAGCAGCATAACAGAAGAACAGAAGAAGTTGGAAGGGACCGTGGAGGTCTTCTAGTCCAACCCCCTGCTCAGGCAGGAAACTTATATCACTTCAGACAAATGGTTGTCCAATCTCTCCAGTGTTGGGGCACCCACAACTTCTGGAGGCCAGCCGTTCCACTGATTAATTGTTCTCACTGTCAGGAAACTTCTCCTTAGTTCTAAGTTGGATCCCTCTCGGATTAGTTTCCATCCGTTGCTTCTTCTCCTGCCTTCAGGTGCTTTGGATTTACACAACAGAAATCCAGAAGGGGGTGTTTGAAGGCTGCTACAACAGAGCAAAAACTACGCAAAGGAATCTACAACACGCAGCAGGGAGTTAAGCGCCAACGCGCCCATTTCCACAAATGCTCATCGCCCCAAGACGATTGGAAGGCTTACTAGAGAAAAGAATGAAAGCCACGTGCCTGTTTGCCTCGATAGAAAAGCCTTTGTCTATCAGGTGCCACCCTGAAAACTTCATGGATTCTCTGCCGGAGCTCTTCCACTTTCGTCAGCTTGGAAAGAGAGTCCACCCGATGCGTCTCTTTTCCATCCATGGTGCGCACTTGGATCCACATCGTGGCGGTGTCTCTGTGGAGGAATCACAAGCACATGAAGAAACACAAGGAAGGGGAAAGAGGGGGGGGGGGAATCGTGCCTCGCCATCAAGCCTCATTTTGCCCCAACAAGTGCCCACCCCTTGCAACTCCCCCCTCATTCAACCTAGAAGCGCCTCCACGTTTGCGCACGGATTGTTCCCATTTTGCATCCATTGTGCTAATCCAGCACCCCCAGTGTACGGGACCCCCACCCTCTGTAACTACCTCCCCACCTACCCCCCCCTCCCACTTTCCCTCCTGATTTTGAAAGGATGCCACTCATTTCACGGGGCTGAAATAAATCTGATGCGTTTATTGCCAATGCTTTTTTTTTTTTTGCTTGTTTCTTTTGGGGGGTAGGAGAAATAATTCATCCCACAATGACCAGCCAGCTTGGATAAACCAGATGATATAAGACATAGCCCTGGAGGAAGGTGGGCCTGCTTTGTATCTAAATTTCGGCTAGATAAAAAAGTAAATGAGCAAACTACTGTAATGCAAGGGGAAAAACCCGTCTCCAAAAAAAAAAAAAAAAAAGGAATTATTCCTAGTACTGGCACTGCTGCTGTTATTCCCAAATAGCCCATTTCTTAGGAAAAGTTACCCAATGACGAATATAAAGGTTACACAACCATTATCCCCAGTTTCGTAACACCCTCCCCAATTAAAAACAAGGTTCCCATGGCAACCATTGCCCTATTTCCTCCCCCCCAAAGCCCCCCAAGTGCTCCCTCCACCCCCTTCAGGATCCCCCTCCCCAAAGTTGCCCCCCCACAAGCGCCCCTTCCTCTATTCCTAGAAGCCCCTAAATTGACCAGCCCCATGTCTATAGGTAGTTGGGGCGCCCCCCCCCCCACTTCACGAACCCACACAAAGAGGTCCGACGAAGTCCAGGCAGCCCCGGCGTCCTCAACCCTCCTTCTCCGGCTCGGCCCTCCCGTCCCTCGCCCCAGAGTAGCCCGTTTGGGGGAGGTTCCCCCTTTCGCACCTCGGCGGCCGTTGCCCCCTCGGAGCCGCTCGACGACCCCACAGCGCGACCGCTCAACCGAACCGCCTGTTTCCCCCCCCCACACCCTTGCGCTTCTTCCCCCTGGGTGCCGCCCCCTTCCCCGCTCCTCGCGCCCCCGATTGGCCCTAGGGCGCCCATGGGTCGCTTTCCTTCACGAACAGCCTCCGGCTCCCGCCCTCCGCCCCGCCTCTCGGAGCCCAGCAAGTTCGGCTGTGCGCTCCCTCGCCCAGCACTTGCCTGGTTCCTCCTCGCGGAGTTCAAGGCGCGCGCCACAAATTGAAAAAAAAACCGCCCGGGCGCGAGGATTGGAAAAGGGAACTCTCGCGAGATGATGTCAAAAAAACAAACAAAAAAAAAAAAAACAAACCGAGGCTGAGGGAGAAAGCGCTTGAGGGAAAGAAAAAAAAAAAAAAAAGCCAAGCCGATGAATTTAAAGGGACAGGCTGCATTTTGCGCTCCTTTCCGTCCCTCGCAAACATTTTGCGCGATTTCGAAAACGCGAGTGGCGATTTTTCAGCGGGCTTTGCAGCAGAAGGCGGAAAGGCAATTTGGCCAGCCAGAATTAAAGCCCTGTCAGTTGTAATGCCCTAAACGTTCTCCATTTATTTGTTCCAACTGCTATGGGCTAGGCTTACTTAAAAGTAATTGGATTAATTTAATGAATGGGCCGTGATTTCCTATGCAATTTATTTCCTCTCCCCCCCCCCCCCAAAAAAGCATCTGTGGACTCAAATTTGCTTGCAACCAAGTTGCATTGCCGTCTGAAAGGGCAAACGCGTGCAAAACAATCATCATATGCACTTAACTCGAGAGTATAAGTTCTTGCAACACACTGAAGCTTATTTCCAAAATTTATGCAGAGGTACCCGATCCTGTTTGCTGGTTGTGGCAACAATCTGATGGCATCTTTAACGCCTGGCAATTTATTGCATCAGGAATCTGCCCCTTTGTTAGGAGTTACAATATCCATAATGCACAGCAGAGCATTGAGACGAGACTGCCAGAAGCCATGGGGACTGGAGTGAATTCCAAACGTGCATGATTCTAATTATTTATCCAGTATATGAGATTGCAGGATCGTAAACAATTCAAGCTGGCAAATGGAAAAGATTTAAAGTTCCACCAGAAAAGGATAAGAGAGAGAAAAGAGTTAAATGATCCACCTCTGAAAACCACAAAACAAACAAACAAAAAAGATCTAAAAGTTCTCACAGGTTCCGAAATCATCCTGGTCGCATGCCTGTTTGGAAAAACCAGATTTTAAAATCTTTCCTAAAGGATTGCAAAAAAACAGCCGCAAAGCTAAACAGGGAAGTCTGGAGTTATAGACCAAGAAATGCAATTGAAAAAAATGGGAGTAGGGGCAAACGAAATGTGTTTGCTTACATTAAGGGGAGAGTTGTAATTCATTTTTTTGTAAATTTATTTTATATTTCATCTTTCTGCCCATTTCCCTCAGAGCATGGAATTGCGAGCATAGCCTGAAATGAATAAAGCAAAAAACAAACAAACAAACAAACAAAAAAACATGTGGCTAATCCTAAACAAAGTTGTCTACAAAGTTGTCTGGAAAAAAATCTCTTTACTGTATCTTACAGTTTACGGCCTCAATGAATATTTTCCTTTCTCACCCAGCCTTTCTCCAATAACCCTGTTCCACCAATTCGTCACCGGTTAGGAATGTCTCCCACCCGTCCAGTGCCGTTCTCCTACTGCCTTGATCCTGTTTGGGGATCCCTTTTGTGATCTACCACGTGGCACGCGGGAAAAGACAAGTGAGATTCTTAGATTTATTTCCTGTCCTTTGGGCCTCCAAGCCGCTGGATTGCTTTTGTTCCCCAACTGCAAGACACAACATCCAGGCCTTCTCTTGATATTTTGAAGACACAACAAACAACGATGGCGCTGGATTCTGTGGCATAGCTCCCCGTGCCACAGGAAGGTCACCGCAAAATAATAACAGAGGATGCAATTCAAAGCTATCGAATTTAAGCACCCATAAAAATGCTAAAGTGGTTATTTCTCAGCCTTCCGGAACTTTAAGACGTGTGGACTTCAATTCCCAGAATTCCCGAAGCAGCAGAGGTCCAAAAATGCTCTCCTATTAGTTCTGAGAACCACATTAAAGATAGTTCTCATCTTACGACCACAACTGAGCCTCAAATTTCTGTTCCTAAGCGAGACATTTGTTAAGCGAGTTTTGCCCCATTTTACGACCTTTCTTGCCAGTTCTTAATTGAATCACTGAGGTTAAATTGATAACACGGTTGTTAAGGGCAACTGTCATAAATACAGAGCGTCCTCGACTTAACAACGGTTTGTTTAGTGACCGTTCAAAGTTACAGTGGCACAGTAAAAAGTGACTTATGATCATTTTTCACACTTACCGACTGTTGCAGCAGCCCCTGCGGTCACGTGATCAAAATTCAGAAAATTCGTATTTATGACGGTTGCCGTGTCCCACGGTTACCTGATTCCCCCCTTTTGCGACCACCTGACGAGCGAAATCAGTGGGGGAAGCCAGATTCACCTAGCAGTTTGAGTAATTGAATGACTGCAGTGTTTCTTCACTGAACAACTGCGTCAAGAAAAGTCGTAAAATGGGACCAACTCCGTTAAGCAATGTCTCACTTAGCAACAGCAATCTTGGGCTCAGTTGTGGTCGTAAATTGAGGACGACCTGTGCATCCCAGTTGCCGAGAGTCCGAATTTTAATCACATGACCAGGGGAATGCTGCAACAGTCACTTTTTTGTCAGTGCTGTTGTCATTTCAAGGGGCCCCTAAATGAATGTTTGTAAGTTGAGGACTGTCTGTACCTGGTGGTCTCCTTTCCAAGTGCTAAACATGGATAGAAAGTTAGCATTTGCCCTCAGATAATTCACCCTGGTAACCACATCCATGTTATTCTCTGCCAGCATTGAACTGATCTAGCATTACCTTTTAAACCATTTACACGATGGAAAAAAAATTAGGGGCCGTTCTTGAGGTCTCCAGCAAGTGTTTTAGATCCTCTGACATCCATAATTGATTTAAGTTACCTTATTACAGGTAACATTTTTTTCATTTGCATTTCTTGGTCTATAACTCCAGACTTCCCTGTTTAGCTTTGCGGCTGTTTTTTTGCAATCCTTTAGGAAAGATTTTAAAATCTGGTTTTTCCAAACAGGCATGCGACCAGGATGATTTCGGAACTTTAAATCTTTTCCATTTGCCAGCTTGAATTGTTTACAATCCTGCAATATAATATACTGGATAAATAATTAGAATAATGCACGTTTGGAATTCACTCCAGTCCCCATGGCTTCTGGCAGTCTCGTCTCAGTGCTCTGCTGTGCATTATGGATATTGTAACTCCTAACAAAGGGGCAGATTCCTGATGCAATAAATTGCCAGGCATTAAAGATGCCATCAGATTGTTGCCACAACCAGCAAACAGGATCGGGTACCTCTGCATAAATTTTGGAAATAAGCTTCAGTGTGTTGCAAGAACTTATACTCTCGAGTTAAGTGCATATGATGATTACAGGTAACAATGTTCGTTTAGTGGCCATTTGAAGTTACAACAGCACTTAAAAATAGTGACCTGAACCGTTTTTCATACTTAACGACCATTGCAGCATCCCCACGGTTAAGCGAACAAAATCCAGATGCTTGGCTATTTATGACGGTCGCAGGTCACGCGATCCCGTTTTGTGACCTTCTGATAGGCAAAGTCAGTGGGGAAGCCAGATTCACTTAACAACCGCGTTACTAATTTATCAACTGCAGTGATTCATTGAACAACTGTGGCAAGTCAGTGGGGAAGCCACTTAACAAATGTGGCAAAAAGTACATGCGCCATTTTAAAGGCACTCCTGAAGTGGGAACCAGCCATTGCCTTCATTTAACAGCGTAACAGAAGAACAGAGTGGGATGGGACCTTGGAGGTCATCTAGTCCAACCCCCCTACTCAGGCAGGAAACCCTATACCGTTTCAGACAA